TACAGCCTGGAAAAACAGTTTACTACTGGACAGCTAACTGTGTGCACAGGCAAGAAGATCAGGTTATTCCAAGAATCCTTCTAACTAGCAGTATTTCTACATCTGTGTTCAGTAATACTTTGCCAGTGATTCAGCTCATGACTTCCCAAAGCAATGCAAGCAGACCTGTCTTCTATGGGTAAGGAAGGAGATACAGACACTTGGTTTTGCATTAAAATGGATGGTGAGCACCCAGAGAACCTGGTGCAAGAAAAGAGAAGATGAAGTTTCATGTGTGAAACATCAGTACCTCCCCATGGTTATATTTACAGACCAGAAAATGAATATAATAGTCATAATGTATTATGAGGCTTTATGCCTTTACACAAATCTTAAGCTATTCAGGGACTGCAAAAATCTTGGCTATGGCAGACATAACCTGATCTGAAAATTACAGAGCACTGGGGAAAGCTCCTGGAGATTTCAATAAACTTGAGATCACTTCTAGCTTTCTCAATTTCTCCACTTTAAAAGCAGAAACAAAATCAAACCAACTAAACAAAAAGGCCAGTACAGCTAAAACTCCTAAGTATCTCAGAGTCAGCAGAGAAATAGAAGCATCAACTTCTTAAATTTCTTTTGGTTTTAGAGATGAGATAGGATTGGGCAGAGAAAAGAGGAAGGAATGAAATTATAATTCTATAATAATAGATTTGCATGTAAGTTTGGATTAATTTTAGAGTGATTTTGATTTCAAATGGAGAGCTGATTTGCAACAAGTTCAAGCAGCTATAAACACCTAAGAAAGTAAATTCAGTAGGAAAACTTGACTGCCCCATGAAAGATGTCTGAATGTCACAGAGTACAAATAAAATCTTAATAAAAGTTCATCCTTTCTGGGTGTGGGTTGAAGACTTACTAAAGACAAGTCAGTCAAAACCCACAGCAAAACAAAACACCCATCCTATCTTTTTTAGCAGTGTCAGAAGCTTCTTGACTTGTGAGAGTTATGGTCAAATTTGCACTTCATGTCTTTCTGAATCTACTATTACTAAACTACTTTGTAAATCCACAATGCATTTACATTAATCTCAAAACCACTCAAGATGGAACCATCCTAAGAAAACAGGAACAAAATCAGAACAAAGTGATGATCCCCAACCTCAGGACAGCAGTTCTGGGAACTGACACACAGTTCATTGTTTACTGCTCAATGCTGAGGATTTTTTTCTAGTAAAATCATTACATAGGACACCAACATATGACTGTGCTACTCTCCAGCAAAGGGACAGATCCTGCCTGACACTGAGGACCTCAGACCACTGTCCTGCCCTTCAACTGCTGTGCAAATCAAGAGGCAAAGCATCCAACCAGTTCCCATGGCTGGCCTCAGCCACTTCCTCTTTAAAAACACATTCTGAAGTCTACTTTGAAAACAAGCTTTTAGAAAAGCCAGTTCATTTTTGTATTATTATATTGCAAGAAGTCTGCAAAGGCACCACTGGGTACCACATTATCCCATAAAGATGTCAGGTTTTTAGTGATTGCAGCTCTAAAGAGAAGGAACAAACAATGGAGTGCTTCCTTATATGTCCAGCAGCTCCACACTGGTGACAGAGACCATTTCCCCAAATGGTCAAAAAAACAGAAGCAGCTCCACTGTGGTTTTAGGAGAACTGCTTTAAAGCACACAGCCCACTGCGATCCAAACAAAGACAAAGCTTACAGCAAGGCTTCCTACATGGCTTCCCAGGATTCACATCTGCACGTTGCACCATTTACTGTTTATAAGGACATTTTCACAGCACAGTCAGCTTCTGACTCTGCTAAACCAAATGGACAAAACCTTTTTACCAAACTGCACTTTGGTGCTGATACTTAAATGTCCCTGCAAATGTCTTCTGCTGGTAATATATCAGCTCACTGTAAAGGCAGGGAGGGAGCTCAGGGGCCCTAATCCACTCTCCTCTGATTCCTGCCTGAAGACCAAGTTCACTGCAGAGGCTGCACACAGTCGTTTGTTCCACGTTCCTACAACCAAAAAAGGAGAAGGGAGGAAACAAAGCTAAACACTCTGCTCCCTGTGAGATCAACTGCCACACTGGCCAGCTGCAAGGATGATACTGGCCACAGAAGTGGCACAGAAGGCACATGCCCTCTGCCTATCAAACCTGAGCCAGTCCTACAGCAGGAGTCTGGACCTAGCTGCTAGGTACCCAAGGCTCCAGATCCAGCCCTGCCTCTAAGCACACATCTGATGCCCTTTGCAAAACAGTCCGAGAATTAAATCTTAATTTACTTCTCTGTCACTATTCTGGTTACTTAATCCAAGCAAACTCTAATACCAAGAGTTATCCCTTAAGCGAGGCCATGTTACATGCTGGCATCTGGCAGCTCCATCACAGAACTTCCTGCTGCAGTTGTCAAATGGCTACAACAACTGGAAGATTGAGAGATGGGAGTGTCTCAGAGCCTTAGACAGCATCACATGAGGTGCATTCAGGAATTACATGTCCTTTTGATTGCATGTGTCATTGTGATCACTGCAGAATTTTAATGCCATTACTCTATAATGCATGAGGCAAAAAATAGCTCTAGTGTCTGTTCATATCTGCAGGTACAAGTTAAAGTAGCCACAGTGTCCATCTCAAGCAGAAGTGAGGGCAAGTGATCCCACTACTTGAAGAGCACCGTGCTCCGCCCAAGTGAAGAGCACTGGCTCTGAACACCCCCAAACTGTTTTCCTGGCCAGACAGACTTTTGGCAGTAGAAGTGGAGCAGCCAAGCCATGAGAGGCAGAAGGAATGAGAACCCCTGCAGAAAGAGGAGGAGGCAGAAGCCACCCTGTCACTTCACTGGAGGCTGAGCAGTGCCTGCAGCTCCCCGGGGCCAGCCGCCCAGCGCCGCCGGCTCCAACAATCCCCCATTCTGCGCTCGGCAGTTGTGTAAGAGCGGCCCCAGTCACACGGGCAGAGGGGAGCAAAGAAAGGGCATTATTCACAGCCTGACATGGATGAACCCGCTTTAACACATGCACTTGGAAAACACTGTTCTCTCTGTTCAGTAATATTATTTCACATTCCACTCGTTTTGATAACCTTTTCCTTCTCCATCTACCCCGCTGACTGACTGCAAAGTCGACTGACTACAAAGTTCTCCTGAGATTAGCCAACACGCATAACTGCAATTAATTGGGTTGGGTTTTTTTTTCCTTTTCCCCCTTTCAAGATGCCACTAAGCCTCATTTTGCAATAAATAATTTACAAATACAATAAAAAGCTAGAGAAAAAGTCTCTCTGGTTCACTTTGAAGAGAGCAGGCACCGGGGTAGGGATTGCTTCCCAGAATTTATCTAACGCTATTAGGACTGATACAGCACCAACATGCAGCCTTTCACCCCAACCAGAAAAGGGCAGCCTAAAAAGGGAGGTAGAAGGACTTTCAGCCCTCTATTTCAAATAGGAAGTCATGTCTCTGTATCCCTTTGACATGGCTTCAGCTTTGAAAAAAAAAAAATCTAGGGCAAGTCCTAATTTTATCTTTGAAAAAAAACGTATTCTAAAACCACTTTATACAGATAAAGCAAAGATGATCCTCCTCTGTCAAAACCCCCCACATGTGGTGTTACATCTTTAACAATCCCATACACACATTCATTTGTAAAGTGCCCTGGCAAATCCAGAAGGTGACAAAGGATCAAATCTGCATGGTGAATTTACAGCTAATAGCCAGGCAAATTACAAGACCACAGAGGTATTTTTTTCCTTTGATATGCAATAGCACTTCGGGGAAATTTTCTGAGAAAAAGAATTTCCATTTACTGTCCTCATTTCCAACAGCTTCCTTGATGCTATCTGCTACACAACCTCCATGATCCTCAGTGTACTAGAAACGTATTAATCCCACAGATATAAGAAAAATTCATATTTGATAGCTTCCCAGAATTGAATTAACTGAGAAGGGAGTGAAGCAGACTTCTTGAGGAGCAAAAGCTACATTTTACAAGGGCTACCATGGACTAGAAAAGATTCTGTACCCATAATTCAGTTTCCTTTTCTGTCCTTGCAACAAGAGATTTGGTATATTTTAAGCTTCAGCCTTTCTTTGCCCACACACTCCCTTGTTTTTTTTTTGTTGGTCTTGTTTGTTTGCTTTAAAGAAACAAACCTTTTCAAATGTTCTGGCTATTGTCTACCTATATGAATCAAATTCAGGGAAGACAAAAGTGCCCTTAAATGTTGTAATATGGTGTTTCAGACATCACAGCATCTTCTGAGAAGATGGGTAACACCAGATTTTTTTAATTACAAAGAGATGCAATTTAAACACACTTCCTCCCTTCTCCGTTGCTTCCTTAAGTTACAGGCACATCACTGGACTTGTATGTTTAAATTTTAAGCACCCTCTAACTGAAACAGAAAATTAAGCATCAAGCTTCAGTGAATTGACATCAATGTATAAAAGCCACAAATGACTCTGAAACCAGACAGCAACTGAAAAATAAGAGTTATGAGCCATCTGTGACAAGCATGGATTCCGAGATCTTGAAGAACATGAAAAGCTGTCCTACTGTAAATTTAGGACCACAGACAACAATCCTGGTACCAATGACATTGGGTCATTTTTGAAGTGTAGCTCAGAAGGCAGAAATTTTAGTTCTAACTGGATCACAGAGCAACCAACAGTGTGTGGTAGCTGCAAGTACCCCTCAGGAAGCCCTCACAAGCATGACTGCCAGAAACTGAAGTGTTAGTTAAAACTGATTTGGCATAAGCTCATTTAGAGCCATGTCAGCTATCCTCAAACTCAGATATCATCTTACTGGAAAAAAAAAAAAAAAGACTGTATCTGCTTAGATTTTATGCAATTAAATTTCTGCAGAGATCTCCCTATTTTTAATTAACCTATGGACTGACTTAAGCGAGGCGTTAAACCTCAGAGGGTTTATCCTACCAGTGTGACTGAGGAGCTAGTCCTATCAGATCTGTGTTTACACACAGCCTCTCCACCCCCTGGCTTACCTTTTCAACATCTGCTTTTGTAACATTGATGTCAGCATCCATTTTCTCAAAATACTGCTGTGCTCGATCAGCTTCTTTGCAATCACGCTCAAAGCGCCTCTTACTCTGAAAAGGAAAACCAGGAGCCTTCATTATGGGAAAGAACCATCATACCAAAATCTGCCTAAAATCAATACCTGCCCCAAACTGATCCGCTGCAACAACTGTCAGATCTTAGGACTCGCTTGTTTACATAGGAATACATTTCCATAATAAAGAACTTAAAAGTTACCAGAAATACATTTTTTTTGTTCTGCTCTTGAGGCTGCTTGATTCTACCAACATCACTAGTATTTAAATATTTTCTGTGTTAGCATTTCTTCTGCTCTTACAAACCAAATCACTCCCTTCCAACACATGAATCCCTCATTTTTATAATGCACAACAAGGGAGTTGTTAAAATTCACACATTTGCAAGTAGGACTTTTGATTATTGATGTCCCCTTTCTTTATCCTCTCTACTTACAGTCTTGCTTTTCATCACATGAACAACAGTTCCAATGTATTTACTTTTGAGAAACAGCACCTTACTCAAGAGATGGTTCCATTCCATTTATTCACACAGTATGGAGCTATTCAGCTTACACTGGAATATCTGAACAGGGCCCTTAGGGACTCTGCATTTCCAGCAATGCTTAACACACTTTTCAAGTCATATCAAATGAAATGCTACTCATGATAGACATGTATTCCACAGAAAGCCAGATGTACTATTAAACCAGACTTCATGTCTACCAGTACATTTAAGACAGCTGAGTTGTAAAAATCCCACAGCTTTTCCCATATACCCTCTTCCCAAATATTTTTGGAGCCACTTCTATGAAAACAGTATAAAAATGACTTAAATGTCATATCTGAGGAAATGTCCACCTACTGCTTCCAGTTGTTTCCAGCAAGTTTCAAGATGTTGTTGTGCCTTCCTGCCATCATGGAAGTGCTGTTTAGAAAACGAAAAAAAAAGAAAAACATTTTCAACAACAAAAGAACAAACAGTCAAATATGCTCAAGGAGCTCCAAAAAAAACACCCAACCACACAACCAGAAATTATTCTGACAGCTGTGTTCTGCCATGGTGCTGAATTGAGCAGGTGTATGATGACTATCTAATGTGTCAGCAGACTGCAGATGTATATTTGCATCAATTATAGTGGTTAGTTAGACTAAAGCTTATTAATCTCTTTAGCAATTCCACCTTGTATTGTTCACAGTATCTCATAATTACTGGTTTCTCATACCACAAAATCTGAAGCACTTTTATCTGAAGAGTATTTCTTTGGGTACTGACAGAACATGAACTCTAAAATAAAATTTTTCTCTACACAGAATTTACCAAGATACCCTTGATTGGCATGTTCTTACAACTGATATTTGTCCTCACTTTCATTCAGACTCAACATAAAACCCCCTTTTTCCTAGTCCCTGGCTGTGTGTGCAAGGCCAGCTGTTATTCTCTCTTGAGAGCTACTCAAGCCTTTGGGTCCCCCTAGAAAGCCTCCTCTCCCCCATGTTAAGGGTGTGCTTGCATGTGAGCACACAAAGGTGCTACAAAAGTTTTAAATATGAGCTCTCACATATATACTAAGTGACAAGAAACTTCTCCTGATGCCTTTTGGAGCAAGACTCTTAATTGAGAGTGGTTTAAATAACTGTTCTCAGTCCTTACATGATGCTCTTCATCAGAGAATGTAATATGCTTCAGATATTGCCCCCCCTGTCTTCCACACGCCCCACTTTTGCTCAGGATAAGCAATTCACCCAACATCACTGCATAAGTCAATGACCCAGCTCTAGAAAAAGAATATTAACACAGCCCCCAACTAGCTGCTTAAACACGTTACACCCTCTACAAACCACCTTGTAAAATAAATTATACAGCAAGGTACAAACAGAGGAGATGTGTCTTTCTGCTGTTATTATTTACTAGCAATTAGGATGTTTTACTCAAATGCAGGAACAGTTAAATGCAATGAACTTGAAAAATGAAGGTCTGATATTGCCACACAATCCCATTGCAACTCACAATTCATGGATGAGTCTCAGGCCCACACACAATCAGACAGTAGATAGATATTAAGCAACGTTATTATCAACAGTCTCTCAGGGTAAAAAGCTCCAGCTTTCCAACAGCAGCTTGCCACGAACTGCTAAAGTTAGAAAAATGTGCCTGCAAGCACTTCTAAATCAGCAGCTACTTGGTTTCCTGCATCTTTCACTAAAGCAACCAGAACCATCCTCTGTCAGAGCCAGGTTTCTGGACCAAATGTGCTACAGACATGTCCTAGCTGCCTTTCTGGCTCAAACAGACAAAGCCCCAAAACTGCAAGTCTCTGTCACACCATGTCCAATATGACTTGTGGTGCCTTAAAAATCAGGACAACCTTTAACTTGTCCATGAGAACAGAACACTACCACACTATCCTGAATGCTCTGGATACCATCACCTCTAGTCCCAGGCACTGGCTGTTAAAAGGAGGGATGCCCACCACACAGGGAGGGGCACTCTGTAGATTTAACTTAGGGAGAGCATTTATCTCTGCACAAAAACTCTTAAAGCAGAGAAGAGAGGCACAATGTCAGTAATGCTTTAATCCTGGGCGTGTGCTGGGCTCAGCTCTGGCTCTGCTCCTGCCTGCTGAGGAGGGAGATGCAGCAGCTGGGCCATGGCAGGGAGCAGAGCCAACAGCCTGGCACTGCTGCAGCTGGGCAGAAACACCCTTTGCCATGAATCCTGATCATCCGTTTGCACTTCTCACAGATTCATACAATGGTTTGGGTTGGAAGGGACCTTTATAGGCCATCTAGTCCAAACCCCCTGCAGTGAGAAGGGACATCTTCAGCTAGAGCAGGTTGCTCAGACTGGGAATGGTTCCAGGGATGGTGCATCAACCACCTCTCTGGGCAACCTGGGTGAGTGTTTCACCAATCTCACTATAAAAAAATTTCTTCCTTATCTCTAGTCTAAATCTCTCCTCTTTTTGCTTAAAACCATCACCCCCTTGTCCTGTCACAGAAGGACCTGCTAAAAAAATTGACCCCTGCCTAGCATACCAGGATTCTCCAGTCACCATGAGGACACAACACCCCAGATAACACTGTAAAACTGTTTGGGTGGTGGGGAAAGGCCCCAAAGTCGATTTTCATTCCTTTTGTATATCCCCATTTTCTTTCAACTCAGCATGTGACAGACACTGCATCTTCCTTGCCAGGGGCCTTTGAAACACTCCCCATTGCAGGCTTGCTTTTGTAATTAGAGTTTAGGAAAACAGTCCCAGGCAACAAGTGTAATTTAACACAGCATTTTTTAAGATTTTTGCTAATGAGTGTGGAATTCATTAAAGACTTTCAGCAGTGAAGCTGCAAGTAAAATTACTTATCTGTCTTCATACTGCACCTCCTGCCTCCACCAGCCTCTGCTCTGTGCTCTCCCCTTCACGGGCTCCGACTCTGCTGGAGTGTGGAAGGGACTCAGTTTGGGAAGAGCTGGGCTGCCCAGACCCTGCACTGACACTGACCCAGAAACTGCAGGAAAACACCACTGCAGGGTCACTGAACACAGCACAGCTGCACGCAGGGGCTGAAGGATGGACCAGGAATCAAGTGTGTCAGGTAACAGGGTGACCCCCAGCTCGGATATTTAAACTACTTCAGAGTTAATCAATAATGTGATTTTCATTTTACACAAGCCATCCCTGTTACTTCCAAATTTGCCTTCTTTGTGAAATGAACTCTACAAGCTGCTGAAAGTACGTACAAAAGCAGCAGGAAGCCTGGGCAGTATGGCTCCATCTCATGCAGATTTTGCTATATTTTGCCTCTTTTTTTGGGGGAAGCTCTTTTACAGAAAGTAAAAAGTGGAGTGACAGTCTGATGAACACAGATTTCAGTGCAATATTGCCTTTTTTAGTTCAACCATTTTCTGAATATTTGTAAACCTCTCGATTCTCACTGTGTTACCCCATATATAAACTTGTTAGGAGACAAAGCTACTCCTGATAACAGATGTAACATAGATTGAAAGCCCTTCTGCTTTCGCAAATCTTTTGCCCTCAAAGCATGATTTCTGCCTTCCAAAACGTCATTTTTTTTGTATAAAGCAACTAAATGAGACCTTTAAAATGGTATTTCTTTCATTTCATATATACTTCATTTTACAGGCAAGAAAATTGAGACAGTAGAGTGAAGTGATCTGCTCGAAGTCATACAGGAAGCCTCCAGTTTCCTCAAACCCTTTACAATCTTCAACTTCTGCAAACTCATTTCCTTTACAATCTTCTCAAACAGCAAATGTCTTTTAGCTTCCCCCATCCTTCAAGTAACTAGCAGAAGTAACTTCAGTATTAGCTCTTCCTTGATAAGATTTCAGTATACAAGTTCTAATTTAAAGAATAAAATTTTAATCAAATTAAATAATTGGTTATTCTACACCTGAAACTACCATTCTTAGTCACAAATTTCAGCAGCACATAGTGATGAATTTAGAGTACTTGAGACCATATAGAATGTTACCTTTATTCCTCCAAAACTCAGTGCCCAAACAAATGTATCCTAATCAGGGTTTTTATTTAAAAAAAAAAAAAAATACAAAAAACAGATCATGAGCAAGATACTGAACTAATGAATCACACTTCAAGAGTACCAGTAAGACATCTGCAGCAGTGGCATTGGTCATTCACAAGCTCAAATTTCCTCCAGACTTCCCAGTTTTCCTCCAGATTTTCCACTTATATTCTCAGTGTTTGAAGCACACATTAAAATCACATTGAAGTGAAAGTCTTGATGAAGTTTGAGGTTTATTAGTCTTTATTACTTGACCCCCCTAAATCACTTTTTAATCTACACTTTGGAGTCTTAAGCTAGTAATCACCATGCCAACTTTGATTTCCCTGAAAAATATTTTATTCAAGCACTAGACCTACTAAATAGCTTCAAACATAGCAGTGCTACCTAAACTCAAACCATAAGTGACCACAACTGCCCTTTTTTCCCCAGTGCTTTGAACAACTCATAACTGGCTGTGTTTTGACTGGACGTGTCTATCCATGCTACAGTTGCAGGGTAAGACCCAATAATCTGGGTTTTAGCTGATCCCATGAGAGATCCTAAGACTTGAGAGATTTTCAGCACAGCATTAAGTTGCTTATATGAAGACCATGGATTAGATTAATTTTTTTAAACAACATTCATTATATTCTAAAAGACTCCCAGCAAAAATAATACTCAGCAACAGTAAAGGAAGAAGAGTTTTAATAAGAGTGACAAAATCCACAGGCAGACATGCTGTATGTGTGAGCTTTTCCTTTTTAAACCAAGCCACACCAATCAGTGCTCTCCTCATTACCATGCTGACTGTGTCTGTAACAGCCAGGGAGAAACCCTGGCTGCTGTGCAATCAAAGACAAAACTCTCATTGACTTTTGTTAGGCTCCAGTTCCACCCATCTTGATCAAAACGCTGGGAGCAGCAAGCCAGCTACCCACAATACAGCGCCCAGCACTGCCAACACCACCACAATAAGTAGCAGTGGGATATTTTTGCAAAACTTCCTTGGTATGCAAAAAGGTTTGCAGAGCACCCAGCTCACAGAGCACACAGCAAAAGCTCGCTGGATGCCTCTTATTCTCTTTCTGACCATTTGAACAGTAGCAAAAAAGTAAGATGTAGTTAAAAACACCCTCCGAAGGACAATACAGTCAAATAATTTTGCTGAGGAATTCCCTGTGCCATTTTAAGTGAAAGAACTGCCCTAAACACATCAGAGCTGCTGAAACTGTACCAAAAATTGACCATATGAAACATTAAGAAAGGCTGTAACAAGATAGTCTTGGTTTCCATAAGGAACTAAACAACAATTGATTATACAGTTCAACAATATTTGCACGTTTACAGCCTTGTTTATATTAGAAACAGTCAGAAAAATAATCTTAGTTAATCTGTATC